ATCGCTGAGGTGCGCAAACCGTCACACCACGGTAAGGTCCAGTCTCTTCGTGATGGCGGGGAGAACAGATAGGATGGATCATGGTTGAAGGCAGTGTAATGAGAGAATGCTATTCTCCAAACCGCAGATGTTATAGAGGAAACCTCTGGATTTACGACGAGGGTATCGATGATTCAGTGCGTCCCGTGCATCAATCTTCACCTTCTGTAATTTAAAATCGGCTTTGATGGCCATCTTACAACTTAATCTTCTTCTCACAACTTGTTTTTCTTTGTTCTCAGGTTCGTACCAAAATGGAAAGTTCATCCGGAGGTCACTCTTTCATTGCCGCCAAGCTTTTGCGGGATCCGGAGATAAACCCCGCCTATCGCATGCAGCTCTATCGGATCGATGGAGTTGTGGAGGGAGTAAGTACTAACTTCCACACTGAAACTCGCACTCAGCAAACCCTTCCTGACTTGGAGCCGGTAGTTGATCCAAGACCTTCTTTCCATTTTCGAGGGCTATGCAAACGCCAGGCTGCTGATCTACCTATTCCTAGCTTCAAAGTAAGTTTTTTAGTTCATAGGTTTTCACTCTATGGATTTCAGATTGATGAATATTATGTGGGTGAGAAGCCAGAAAAGGAAGTTACCTTCTCAAATTTGAATGATAACATAAGCTATAAAAATCTGGAAGACATGTGTAAACCTTTTGGTATGATTGAGGAGGCAAAAGTTTACTACCATCCCTTGACACAACGTCATCTGGGCGTCGGCACGGTATTTCCGTTGTTGGTACTTTTACTAGTCTGTTTCTGACTCAGGTGGTGTTCAGGTCGTCGAGAAGTGCTAAAGTATGCGCCAGCACCCTGAACCACACGTCTAAGATGGGCAATATTATGGAGGTCAGAGTTGATTTTCTTGGTGGGTATTGCATTTTTATATCACTATTTTCACTTTAGGAAGACATAGGGCCAAATTATTGGGGGAACTAATGGCGGATATGTTACCTAGGAATGGTTCCGTTGACCAGTTGCCTGACGCCGAATGTGCAGTTGCTCGGAGTCGCCTACTTTCAGGTCACCCTTCTTTCGGCCATCATCCAAATACTGTGCAAAGTAAGCATGTTTCGCACGGTTCCATGTTCACAACGGAATCAACTGCTCCGGGCCCCGGTAGGCTACGAACCCAGAGGACGCCATCACGCGACCTACCGCCATCCCATTGTATGACAACTTTCAATTCACATTTGTTCAGTCGAGCATCAGCGAACCGTTCTGATAACAGTGGTTCATTGGACCATTTACCACCTGCTGGTGAAATTCGGGTCGTGACCGATTTAAAACCGAATGACGAAGAATCAGTGCGACACCTTCAACCAAGGAATAGACCCCTTGGGTCTTCATCCACTTTTCCAACCGAACGTGGCTTACACATATCTGATTCCATCCCAGAAGCCATTGATCCTGGGAGTGCTCATCCTACCAACACGGACAAGGTGAACAAAACCCGGGGTAATCAACCTCCGTGTGAAGAATCTCTTGAATCTCGCATTCAGAAGTTACTCCAGTTGAATGCTCTATCAGGGACATCCGCTGCACCTAGCCCACCCCCTCCTCCCGATGTACACAGCAGCACTACTACTATCACTGTAACCTCTTCTGTAAGCAACTCTTCATGTAAACCCGCTACCACGACTGCTTCGGTGTGTTCTAGCGACCCCTTGTCCAGACACGGGGATTCTCACATGCCCCTCACCCAGTCAGACCGAACACGAGTTCCTGTGGAATCTGATGTTTGTTTCCCTCACCTTTCCGACCGTCCACAGGCCTTGATCAATCGCCGGACACTACTTCCAACACCGGAATCTTTAACAGATATGTCCATCCTTGATCCCTCACGTGCATTTTCCCTTCCACGCCATTCGCCCTCCCCATCCACATCCGGGGCCCCCGGATCTAAGGTCGCGCAGAAGCCCTTGGATACCGTTGAGCTCAACATGATTGCTTTGGATGTTTTCACCCTGTTCATTGATGAGCTCAAGGAGATTATGCGGCGCGATGTGACACGGAGGATCGTGGAGGGTAATGCGTTCAAGATATTTTCCAATTGGTGGGACTCCAAAGAACATGATATTCTCAAGGTGAGTTGCAATATACCATTCACTAGCACCCCTTGAAACTGTTTTGCTTGGAATAGTTTTCTCGATGCAAGATGGCTTTGGTTGGTATATGTTTCTCTTGTGATATTCTTGGGATGTTCTCTTGTAATATTCAGAAAATATGCATGGAAGACCCTCCAACATTAAATAATTCGGAATAGTCTGACGACTTGTGGTACATTATTATTATTATTATTATTATTATTATTATTATTATTATTATTATTATTATTATTA